GTTTTTGTAACCCGTTATAAATGATAAATGGCAGACTATAGATGCTGGATCAAATATTTATAACGCATTGTGTGCGACGTTGGGCTGCTACAGTTCAGGAAAGCCATTAATAATAAAGTGGATGGAAATGGAGAAGTTACCGACATGCCCGGCAAAGCCATTTATAATGAAATGTAAAATTTGGCTGTTGGAAGCAAGCCACGAGCCCTTGCTGAAGCACTGGCCAGGCTCTCCCCCAGCCCAGGAAAGGAGTGGGGTCATGAATTATTTGTGAAGTGTTCCGACGAGAATGTATGCTATCCATAGTATGCCATATAAATATGCTATTAATATACCCCAGGCGGCATGCATTATTCATTGGGCCTAATTAATTAATGGGTGGCCCCTGAAAATGGGGTGTCACAGCTTCTAGGTCCCTCTCCTGCCTGGGGCCGCAGGCTCAGCGTTGGCGTCCACGGCGGCCTGGGTGAACCCGTGGATGGCACCAGGGGTGACCGGCCTTGAGAAGTGGGGGAGAAAGGACATCCCTGATGATCTGCTGTGAGGCCAGCGTGACCCCCCCAGCCGTCCTTCCTGTGCAGGCCGTGTGCAAGGGGGCTGTGGTCCACTCCAGGGGGGCTCTGCCCACCTCGCCCCACGAGTGTCCATCTCCTACAACCACGATTGCCGTGGCCCAGGCAGGGAGCCATATCTCCGCCGGCCACGTCTGGGGCCATCCTCCCTAAACACCCAGGGATGAGAGGCCCTGTCTTATGGTGAAGATGAGGAAGCCCCAGAAGTGGGGAGCCTTCCATAGGGTCCCCAGGCAAACCGGTGTCTGACCGAGATCTCCAACTCGGCTGGCCCATCTGATGCCAGGCTGTGTCCTGAGGGAGTCCCGGCCCCCGCTCCTGTTCTGGGACCCATTCTCACAGCAGGGGTTCTGCGGGCACCCCTGTGCAGTGTGGCTGCTCCTGTGGGTGTACCGCAGTACATAAAGGCTCTGAGAAGTCCTGCAGGGAGAGCTGCAGGGCCAGGCCACCTCCCTTTGTTCTCGAGCACCCCGCGCCCCCCCCCCCCCCCCCCCCCCCCCCCCCCCCCCCCCCCGCCCCGCCACCCAGCCATTCCCTCTCTCCTGGTTTCTCCTCTGCCTCAGAGGCTTAAGGAGCTGCTGTTCCCGCTTGGCCCATCAGCCCTGGGTCAAATTAGTTACTTGGGGTGGAATCCAGTTGACAGGTCTACGGGCCCCACCCCACCGCTGGGACTCTTCCTGGGGTCCAGTAGCCAATGCCTCCTCCAGAAGCTAAACTGATGCACAAGCTGGAGTTGGCTTTTGGATGGAGACTAGTGATGCCTCTGGCCCTGTCCCTCCCCTTCCTCCCAGGGTGGGCCCCCATCATCACCAAGAGGGGCAGAATGTTCTGGAAGCAGGAGGTGGGGGGACTGACACTGTCTGGCCTGGAAGTCCTGCCCCCAACCAGGGTGATCACTCGGGCAGGACGACGGCCTGTGCTGACCCAGGCTCCTCCTGTCCTCACCCCACGCTGGGGCCGGGGCCCCTCCGGGTCAGGTCTTCCCGGCTGGTCAGGTGGTCCCTTCTCTTCTTGGGACCTCAGTTTCTTGGGCTGCAGGAAAGGTACGATCAACCCACTTTTTTTCTTTTTTTTTTTTAAACATAGGGCTTAGGGCGCCTGGGTGGCTCAGTTGTTAAGCATCTGCCTTCAGCTCAGGTCATGATCCCACATCGGGCTCCCTGCTCAGCGGGAAGCCTGCTTCTCCCTCTCCCTCTCCCCCTGCTGGTGTTCCTGCTCTCGCTGTGTCTCCCTCTGTCAAACAAATAAATAAAATCTTAAAAAAAAAACAACAAACACAGGGCTTGAACTCGAAACCCTGAGATCAAGAGTCGGACCCTTAACCACCTGAGCCACCGGGGTGTCCCTGATCAACCCTCTTTTAAAGGGTGGCTATATTAAAAGGGGAAATAGGTGTGAAAACTGATAGGCTGGCGGGCCCTGCTCCCTCCTCCCCAGTTCCTCCGTGGGAGCTACATTTGCCTTTTGTATTCCTCGCACCTTCATTCCTGCCTCAGGGCCTTTGCACACACCATTCCTTCTGCCTGGGAAATTCTTCCCTGCCCTCTTGGATAAGTTCTCTCCGCTATCCTTCAGGGCTCAGTTCCCGTGCTCCCTCCTCAGGGATGCCCCCTCCCATCTTCTGAACCAAGACAGGGTCCTTCTTTTACCACTGAGTGACTGGCACCCCTTGTCCCCTTGAGGTGCCGTCCCAGGTGCACTTTCGCCTTTGCTTGTGCATGTGTCATGGGAGGGGAAAGCCAGCTAGCTGCCGCAACAAACATCCCAAAGTGCCCGCAACTGAACCCAGTGCGCATTCGTGTCTCACTCGCTCAGAGGCCCACACAGCTGTTCCTGGTCAGTGAGGCCTCAGCCTCCCCCTGCGTGTCCTGTGCATCCGGCTGGCAGACCAGGCAAGATGGTGAGTCTGGAGGTGTGCACGTCCCCTCCGTTAGCCAGAACTCAGCCCTGCGGCCCCACCGTCCTGCAGGAGGGGCTAGATTGGCTCCGGCAGGGGAAAGCGTGAATGCGGAGGTCAGAGGCAGGACCGGGAGCGGGTGGGGGGGGGGGGGGCGGTGCGCGGATGCGGGAGGAAAGGTGGGAAAGGCCCCGGCTGGGAGGAGGGGAGGATGGTTGATTTGATGGCCCGCTACGAGGACAGGACCCTTCCTGGGGAGCAGCGGAGGGTGTGAGCAGGGGCGGCACGCTCTCACCCCCGTTGTTACAGATTTTGTGTTGAGAATCCGTTGTAGGTGGCAAAGCAGATGCAGGGTCAGAAGGTGCCGGTGGGAATCCAAGCTCACATTGGGTGGTGGCAGTGGTTGGTCTCCTGCTGGACTGCATGTGGGCATCGAGCGGATAGGAAGGAGCCATCAACCACTGTGGGGCCAGCTGTGGGCGGGGCCTGTTTGGGGTCCTGGAGGAGGGGCTGAGTTCAGGGGACCAGCAGGGCAGAGGCTCTGAGGCCAGAAAGGGAAGGGTAGGGTGCAGGGAGGGTGAGGCCAGGGAGGGCAGGGGTGATAAGGACAGGGAGGCATGACAAGTGGCCTGGACTTTATTCTGAGTGCTGCAGAGGCCAAGCAGGAAAGTGCTTGACCAGTTGGCTTTCTAGAAAGCTCCCTTGGCTGCTGGGGAGGGGTGGGCTATGGTAGCTGGAGGGGGGCAGTAGGGAGAAGTGGGTGGACTGGGGGTGCCCTGGCTTGGAGGTCCTGGAGAGCAGCAGGGCCAATGGAAGGACATGACGTGCTCATGGGGACACCACCACAAATGCTGCTCCCCAAGTCACTGTCCCTAGAGGAAACTGCGTGGTGACCGGCGGTGGGGGCAAAAATGTAGCTTAAACCCCTGGAGACCAGAGCTCCAGCCATCCCGCACTCTTCCTTCTGAGGGAGGTGGGCCTCCAGCCCTGTGTGTCCCTTGTGAACCCCTGTGTCCACCCCCTGCCCTCCCCCCAGACCTCTTCCTTCCTCACTGGCTTTTCCAGTTCTCCTAACTGCTGCCCTGCGGGTCAGGAAAACCCAGTTGGTTCCTCGTTCCAGGACCAGCCACCAGCCTGGCTAAACTGGCATGACACTGTCCTTTGTCCTCCTGCTGGGAAACCCCCCGCAGGTCAGGGCAGTAGTCATGGCCAGCCTTGATCCCAGGTCCGGGGGCTCCCTGTCTAGCACCTGCTTGCATGCCCCCTGTGATGGGGAGCTCACCACCTCCACACAGGCCTCACTCGCATTGCTGGGCAGCTGGATGTCCACCCCTCAGGGCCCAGCTGCTGGAAAGAGCTAGAATGCCATGTGCTGGGTCTGGCCTGGAAGACCTTGGTTTTTGCTCCTTCAAGTGGGCATGGAGAAGCCACCCCTTAGCCCTGCCAGGGGCCAATCATGGGGAAACACCCTCCTTCCTGTGGGCCTTGTCTGGACAAGCCTTGGAGCTGGGGGGCGGGGAAGGTGAGGTCATCGCCCATTTCTGGCGTCAGTGTTTCCGGCTGTCCGGTGGCATGGCCTCAGCCAGGGCTCCCGAGAATGTGGAGCGGAGCCAGCCTGGTAACTGGGGGCCCCACAGGAGGGAGAACCCCATGACTTCTGTCACAGATGCTCACGGTGGAAAACCAGGACACAACGGACCAGCACGACCCCCGAGGGGCGCGGCGCCCCAGGAGCAGTTCCGTGGACAGGCCCGCGGGGGGAGACTCCCGGCGTGCAGGACCTGCCCCCGCGCCCCCCAACGCCGGCGGGGCCGCTCGGGGACCGCGCCCCCTTCCCAGCCTCAGCGCCCCGGGCTGTAACCCGAGAAGCGGGACCGCGGCCTCACCTGGCCCCCCGCCAGCGTGAGCACCCAGGAGGAAAAGTCCCCTGAAAACCCAGAAACGCAAGGGGCGTTCCCGCACGGGGGCGGGGAGGTCGGGGGGCCGGGGGCGGCCTCCCGAGGTCAAGAGTGCCCAGGGCCAAAGGCAGGCCGGGGCGCTCCACCACTTCCTAGCCTCAGTTTCCCCGTCTGTAGAGTGGCTTTGCCCCTCACTTCTCCACGATAGTTGGTTGCGGGGGCGTTGAAAAGAAAGCCCCAAAGCCGCCCAGGAGTAGTGCAGGGCGGAGGGGCTCGGACGGGAGGTGGGG